GAGAGACGGAGCTGAATATAGCCAGGCAAACCGAGGGAACCTCAGACCGCAGAGCAAAGTCATGGAATGACATGTTTACTTTGCGTCTATCACAAAATGCCAGAGAATGCAGGAGAACGTGAAGGGGGCTCACGGGGCTGACGGGGGAGCAGCAGCAGCCAGGAGGGCTTCACGTTTCACCTCCGCCTTACCTCACTCCCTCACCATTTCCTGTGTGGGTTATTCTGGCTCACCTGATAGAGCCTCTGCATGCAGCCTAATAATCATCCCAAACCGCTAACTCTCCCCCCAGCAACATACAGTTGATGGCTGCCATTACAGAACGCCTGCCTGGATGATAGGGCCAGGCCTCAGCGGTGGAGCGCTGCTCCCAGCTGGGTGTGTTTTACACGCTGGGGGCCCATCTGACAGTAAATGGAAAAGCTGAGTCTGAAGGTCTTTTTTGTTTGGCTTTGTTGGGTTTTTTTTTAGGTTATGAGCCCAGTCTGGCTCCATACGTCTAGACATGTCCATCTGCACTCTGTGGAGAAAATCACAATCTACTTCTTGGCTCTAAAGTTCAAGGACTTCTCCTTATAGATCCAAGCTCATCTATTAGCACTCCTGGTTATAATTAAGCTAAACATCGAGAGCTTTCATTTAGTGAGAGAAAAAAAATCCTCCGTTAAGAAATGTCTTTAACCAAACTGTCGTCTGGAAGATGGGACCTGCCGCTCTCAGCAGGGCTGCACTGATTGCAGTTTTCTGAATGTTCACTGACCACCAATCGTTAAAAAGCAATTTTGGCCAATACTGATTTTTTTTAATTTTTTTTTTATATGAAATGTTGATAAATATTGCAATAAAGTTGCAGAGTTGGGAACAGTGGAGTGATTTTTATTAACTGCAATCACTGCTGATCCCTGATCTCCCAAAATCAAGGAAATCTGGGCCAATTTATCGGTGCACCACTTCCACCTCACAAACGGAAAATGATTTTGACTTTTTGCACGGGAGTTGCAATAGAAATTTTGTTGAATCCTGTTCAATGACAATAAATGCTATTCTTCTTCTATTCTTCTTCTTCTAGGCGAAGTATTGTTAAGAATGTTACAATTCAATTCACTATAATATTGTTTGAAATAATCCCATATTCGTTTGGTAGTAAGTAGCACACAAATATTCCATCCTTTTCAGTTCATTTTTCCAAATAAATATCGATTTGAAAACGTCTGCAGCTCTCCTGTCGTGCCATGGAGAGCAGCTCACACTGTCTCTATATCAGCTCAGTGACATATAAAACAGTTCTTCATATTGAGTTTCTTTGCTGTTTGAGAACAACTACTGTTGTAAATCAGCCTTTCACAAATAATATCATCTGTTCAGACGCACAGACGTTTCCCCCAAAATACACTAAGCAATAACACCATGGAACAGCTCACACACTAGTCCAAACAACAGTGTGTCTGAAATAAAACCTCCTGTGATCTGAGCTTGTTGTTTTTAACTCAAACAGGAATGTCAAAGCAAACAATTGTTAGATTGAAATATCCAAGCAAAATTTTTATGTACTGATCGGGACCTTAATAGGACAGTGTTATGGGTTTTCCAGCGTCAATCAAGTAACTATGTTTCCTTCAGTTGTTATAAAAATGCTGCAAATTTCAAATATGACATGAAATAAAAATTACTTTGTAATTAAATACCTTGAAATTGGGCCTCTGTCTCTTTAAGAAAATCTTGCTCTTTCCAACACAACACCTTTGGGAAGTCATCACAACATTGACGTTCTATTAACCCTTTCGCAACATTTTAACCAGTGCTCCTATACTGAGCTCAGCTGGTGTTCAGTTCTGCCAGATGTTTGCTAATTAATACTGGCTAGTCTCAAGGAACCGAGTGGGGGAGTCACTGCTCTGTGGGACGGAAGCTCTGAAGCTTGGAAACGGCAGCGCTGAGGAGGAGCTGAACCTCAACGGCGGAGCTGAGTCCATCCAGGTGTTATACACAGCTGAATGGTTGCCACGGGAGATTAAAGTATTTCTCAAACATGCATAGAAGAATCAAGGCAAAACTCCTGGAATAACATTATAACATGATGTAAAGCTCAAAAAAGTCCATTTTATATAATACTGCCCCTTTAATAAATCTTCTGTATTGACTTGATCAATTGATGTGACTTGTCAAACTTGCTTGGCACCAAGCAAGTTTCTGTAGGCAAGTGTGGTACCACAGTTATTAATTGCTTGCTTCATAAATGCCCATTACTCCCTCTTAAGCTAAACTCTATTTTACAGTCACTATTAATTTCTGGAGGAAACGTCTGTGTTGGTTTCTAAGCTTAACCGAGGAGAAGACAAAAAAAAAAAAGGTTAAGAGTCACAGCATTAAGTTCGATCTGCAGTGAGCTCAACACGTTGGAATGTGTGAGGCCTGCAAGGAGTGCAGAACACATCGGGCTGACGGTAGTAGCTCAGAACTTGCTGCTCAGTCTAGTCATAAGGGCTTTAAAAAGGTTGGCTAAAAGACTGAGTTACGAGCAAAACACAGCTCATAATTACCTGTTCAGGACTATTTTTAAAGGACCCAGTGATTAGCTATCAATTTTGAGTTTTGCAGTACAAAACCCAGAGATTTTTATTAGCAGTACTGTTTTCTGAATGCAGCACTTAATGGTCACATCTGACACAAACATTCTAAGTACAGCCTCAGTATTCACTACTGTTGGATTTTTCTGTGGAACATAACTCCAATTTATTCATGGAAAATCTGCCTATTTGTGGATCACAGCGTGGTAAGCTGAAATGACTGGGCACAATGCTACTCGACACACTGTTGGCTGGTGTTTGCAAATTCAGAACAATCCGGGAGCTACGTTTATTTTCTGTGAAACTGATTGCCCCCCTCCCCAAACACCACCCCCCCCCCCCCCACCACCACCCCTTCACCCCCCACACACACACACGCACACACACACGCACACACTCCAAGTGTGGACAAAGCAAGACAGAAGATGTTAGCTTCTACAGCAGTGTTAAGTTAAAGTCTGTTTTACAGTCACTATTGTGAAATAGTGACTGTAAAATAGACGGTATGTGTATTAATGCTGCTTCGGGTATTTTTGGTGTGAACTATTGCAAGCGGCAGTTAGAAGCCTTTTCAGAGGAGACCTCAAGCATTCACAGATTGGAGCTATGCACAGGCAGCTGTGGTTCCAACTCCCTGTGAACACCTCGGGTCCACTTTACTGAGATTTGGGTTGGGTAAATGTTTATTGAATACAAAAAGTCTGACTCTAAGAATTTCCCATGTAGGGATTGTGTGGAGATCCTCTGCTGTAAGTAACATGGTGAATATGAAGCATCAAGACTTTTTGACTTCCAACATATCAGGAAACTTTATAATTTTTTTAAAACAAGACATTTTTACAGTCCTATAGTTTGATAGAATTGCATCACACTATTTGTAAAGTTTTCTTAACATATGCATCATCACAACCCTTACACAGAGTCTGAGGTCTTCTAGACGGTAGGGCAAGGCCACACAGTCTGTCCCATCTAAATTTGAATGTTACCCATTTACATTTTTTTGACAAGCATTCGGTCTAAGCTGTCCCTTGTATAAGTCAAATCTTGCAGCCTTTTTCCTTTACCTCTCCTGTGTCAGGCGCATCCGGTTTACCTTCAAAATCTATGTGGAGCATCGGACACGTTGGATGTGCTCGGTGCTTCAAACGCTCAAAACACTCCAAACATTTCAAATCTAAACACTCGAAACACCCCGCAACGGCACCATGCGCCTCCCCACACACCTTGAATGTAAATCAGACGCCCTTAAGGCTCAAAACATGTTTGGTGTGAACTCAACACTGGCTTTAGAAGACTTTGGAGACTTTGATTGAGGAGGTGTTAATGCTCAATCGAACTGCGACGCAGACAAAAGAAATGAACTCTGGTCCTCCTACAAACCTCGACATCTCTTCAGTTGAAGTGAATTCTGGCACAGTTCCAATGCATATATGAATGCAAGTGGATCAGAGACCACTCCAAGAGCAGGAAGCAAACTATAGTACAAGACATTCTGGGCAAATAGAACCAAAACAAAAACAAGAGTCTGGTGCAAGCAGGAGAAACGGCTCATGGCTTTCTCCTGAATACAAAAGAGAAATCCTTCAACCTCTAAAATCTGGTGCTATCTGGTTTGCATTTTGTGAAGATGGAAGTTGCACTGAGTGTCTTCTTCAGAAGTATTCTTGTCACATCCTTTAGTAGTTCTTGATGCAGGTTTTTCAGTTAGTTTGGATCACTTGGCAGAGTGCAGTTTGAAAGAAAACCACATCAACTGAAAATGTAACAATCGTAAATTTGGCCCCCAAATGACTTGAGTCTGCTGGACTACCAGCTGTAAAAACATCCTTAATGACTCTGAGTAAAGCGTTGGGACAAAACATTTTGTGCTTGAAAACCTTTCTACAAACTAGACTTTTGAACTGCCTTGTTGCTGAAAAAGTGCTATATAAATAGGATCTTCTTCTGACAATTTTACCAATAATAATGATTGTTATTGACCTAGAATTTAGATTTGTTTTCAACTTTCAGAAAATCAGAAATTCTGATTACAAACCCTACTTTAAGTGAAGACTGCATATTCACCACAAGGACTCATAAAGCCTCATGATGCAACAAAATATCTCACCTATTCCTAATGAAATAATTCATAATTTATAACCATGATATGTCTTTGCCAAAGAGAACTTGAATGTTTTACTCTTCTGTTTTTGGAGGTTCTCCTATTTTGAAATTAGAAAGGAAGTAAAGCCATATTCAATAAATTGGATTATGCATTTAGAAGAGGTCAGTTTGTCAAATAACATGAAAAACTACATTTATAAGCTGTTGTTGGACAGAAGTTACATCAGAACAACCCAAAATCACCAGCTGGTATTTCCAAGGCCCACAAACCACAAGCAGAATCATGAAAAGAAAATATAAAAGACGGATGCAGCTTTTGCTGAAGTTTACCTCCACATGATTGGGCAATGTGTTGACAAATTTAAATCCAGGGATCCTGCGGTCGCTGCACACCACGCCTACATCTTCGGTGTGTTTGCAATCTGAAACACCAATCCCGTTGGATGGACACAGAGCCAGCGTCCTCTCTTTTCCAGTGCACTGCAGATTGTCAAACCAGATGGGTCCTTATGGGATAAAACAGAAATTCAGGTTTCATCATATTGTAAAGCGTTCAGCACTCTGCCTTGGTTTTGTTGCCATACGATATTTCAAGCTTACACTAAGGTTTTGCGATATGTAACATTTTCCCAACCAATGTTCAGATCAACAAATGACTATGGCTAATAAACTCGCACAGCCGACATTTTCTAGGCGGAGCGATTATTTGCCAACTTAGAACACAAAAGTCCAGTTCCAGACACATAGTGCCATTTTACACAACAACCAAAACATACTTTATTGATCCGAAAGGGCAATTAAATGTTGTGGCTCATATCAATTAAAATTCTTCAAAAAGTTACTGTAAATGGTGATGGCTTTAGGCAGGAAAGATTTCCTGAAGCAGTTTGTATTATAGCAAACTTGAAGAAGCCTCTGACTGAAGACACTCAGTTTTTCTAAGTCAGTCTCATGAAGATGATGATCAGGTTTGTTCATTTTCTTAATTTTATGTAAAGTCCTTCTTTCCATCATCATCATATCCAGAGGTTCCACAGTCGACCCCAGAATAGAAACAACCAATCAAGTAACTGTTACCATCAGCATGTTACTATATCCTGCTTGTCCTCATTCTGTATAGTTTTTGAATTTTTCTGTCGTTTATTTACTTTGGTTGTGGCAAATTGCTCATAGAGGCTTAAACCTGCAACATATATATATTTTTCTATTTTTAATATTTTACAGTCATACTCGATTCTGTAAAATTTGTACTTTGTGTTTATTTGCCTCCCCACGTTCAAGATACCATCAGTCCATCTATTATCCAACACACTCTGCACTAGATCTCCAGTGGTCAACGGATGAGAGGCAGGGTAAACCCTGGACTGGTCACCAGTCCATCACAGGTTCAGGGTACCATTTAAATAAATGTATTTTCCTATAAGATGCTGCCTTTCTGTTATAAGTTTGAGTAAATAAATCATCACTGAACTTGGAGGAATTCTGGGGAAAATAAAAGCTTTGCTTGCAGCTGCAAGTTTGCATGCACCATGAAAAACTGATTTTTTTTTTTTTTTTCCATGGGCTGCATCTTGTGGATTCAGTCAAGCATTGTTATTAATTAAGACAGTAACTCAAAGGCCAGAAAAAAAAAGAAAATCCCTACTAAAGTCGACTGGTGAATGGCTCGGCCTATTATCAATGGTCAATAAATTTGTGCAGTCGCCCAACCTTAGTTTACACACCACTGGGATGTATTACCCCAATAAATACCATGTACAAAAGTAATTGATGTGATGTATTGTTAGTGTCTGAGCCTTACCATCTCCTTTCCCATATTTAGAAGATGGGACCCATGACACTGCTTCCTGGTAGCCCAGTTCCTTGCACACCACCTGGGCACCATGGATGGAGAAGTCATCGTCACAGACAGTACCCCAAGTACCGTTGTAGAAAACCTCAACTCGACCCTCATTGTGCTTCCTCTTTTGTCCTGCTAGTCGAAGTTGAATCCTGGGGGTATCTGAAGCGAGGACCGGGGGGGTGTACTGTTCCTGTTCAGGGTCTGGGTAGCCCGGCGGGTAGCCAAGGTACTCGTACTGGGCGTGGGCCAGCCTCAACACCACCAAGAAGATCCCAACGCAGTAGGATAGCTTTGGTTTGGCCAACATTTTGATAGAAACTGTTAAAACAAAAATAAGTAAGAAGGAATAGTCATTAAAAGTTGCTAGCAGTCGATTAAAGATTGGGACAATATTCGCCCCAATTTTGGCCTAAATTTCCAGTCAGATAAAGGCGCCATCAGTCTGCACTTTAGTCAGCTGGCAAGTTGGGTCGGCGCAAAAAAATCTATTAGTGTTAGAGTGAAGACTGGAGTCTGCAGGTGTATGAGTGGAAATGACCCGACCTGACCCAACTTGACCCGACCAGACCCGACCTGACCCGACCGCAGTCACAGTCAAACAAACTGGTAACACACTCAACTGCAACTCCATTAATAGACATTGAAAAAGAGACACTGGAACAGTGTAAATTTAAGGGACAGTGCCTGTTCAGTGTCACAAAACTAAAAGTTTATAGGGTGCCAGATCATTCAGTCAGCTTTACACAACCTTTTTTGAATTAGCTGTTATCAAAGAGCTTAGGGTGTTTTCACACCCGATAATCCAGTAAACATGGTTTGACCAGAGACCAAAATTGCCACATTTGTTACAATTTCAACTGGTGCGGTTCGCTGTCACACTGCGCTCTGTTAGATGAACAAAATCCTTTGAGCTACCTGTTCACCCCGTCACCTCTGGCGGCACTGCACCAAAAACCAGTAAAAGAAACAACACAAACACCTCAGAGGAAGTGACTGAGTGTCACTTTTTTCTTCACAAAATGTAAATAAAAATAAGTGCCATCAGATTTTAGTGGTTGTATGTGTGTTTAGTCAATGGTAAAAGCCATTTCTCCCGCTATCTCAAAGGTACTGTGTTTGTTTTGGTTGTATTTCCCCAGGATGCACTGCACTGAAGACCACTTTTTTGTAGAGGTCTCTGGTCCACTTGACATCCACATGTACAATTGAACAGCACAAAAGTTCACTTCAACCAATCCCAGGTCTGTAAGTGGACAAAAGTTTGCCTTTCTGGTCTTTGTCAGAGTTCAATTAAATATCCCCAAACAAATCACACTTTCTAGGCAAACAAACTAGACTGAACAGGGATGGTGTGAACGCACCCTAAAATATGGCCGGTGAAGCAACCCTGTGTTCTACAGGTAGGACATAGAATGAGTTGGGTCGACAGAGACACCACCTCACATCCCAGAAGAACCCACAGGACCGGTTACATATAGTTCCCAACTGTCCAGTTAAAGTCCTGGACTGCAAACATAGAAACTGCAGCTGGTGGATGTCATGTTTTTTTTTTAAACTGTTAAGCCTCACATGTAGAAACAAAACAAACAGCCATAAAACAGGATTAACACGTGAAGAATCAAGAAAACATCCACTACTGGACTGAAAAACATGCAGGAAACTGATGTTTTTGGATGACTTCACCACAGATGTGTCTGTCCTGTGTGGTGTGAAAACATCTGGCTCCAGACTCTCTGCTTTCCTCACTGTAACGTGGCAGCAGTTACACAAGCTGATCCGCACACAGGGAACGGGTGGAATGAGGCTCCGGCCTCTGGACCGCCATCATTAGGCAGTTAGTTGTGCTTTGATCCGAGCTGGGTTTTCTCAGCGGCTCTCTCTTCCCACAGCGATCATGAGGCATGCAGACTGGGTGACGCTGGAGCTGAAACATCTGAGCACATTGAGGCTGTGCAGGATTTCCTTTGGTTTGAGGGAAAACTAAACACGGATCAGAAAACCTGAATATGAAACGGGAATTATGATGTCTGATATTTTCCTACAGGAGCTCTGCTCTAAGGACTATTTAAGGGTTTGTTGTGACGTGAACCTTTTTTCCCCCACCGGGGATGGAAGGGGTCCAAGGATTGACTGAAAAGGTCAACATGTCAATTTGCAGGAATGCCAGCAGCTCTTTGAGTGACCCTTGCCAAACAGTGCAAGCAGCCACTAAGAAGAAAAAGCTAAATCGCTTTGTGATTTCAAGCAGGCTCCATTTTATCTGATGGAGAAACGTAGTCAATCTGAGGCATAAAAAGGAGCTCCCACAGTCAGGGCCTGTCAACTGAAAGTCAGCTCAGGCATAGAAACAGACTCCTTGGGTTCTGAAATTATTTCCACCGTGCTCTTAAACTGTGTTGACATTAAATCAGTGCAGATTACAACACACAAGCATGTCATGCACAGAATAAATGAAGGTTTGAAAAGGCTTTTCTAAAGACGGACTCAAAGTTTGGGCTCAGAGACTGAGAAGTTCCAACTGCAGCTGAACTTACTGTAATTTCCCCCTCTGGCGAGATGAAGCTCCTTCTCTGGGTCCTGAAGTCAGCTGCTCCTCTTTCTGCCGCGCTCCGAACTTTCACTGCTCTTTATGCAAATCAGGACCAGTGGAGGGAGTGGCCCAAACCGCTGAGGCCCCGCCCACTGACCGTGTCCGATAATGGGCTCTGGCCCAGCTGCAACGTTTAGAGAACAGTTCTGGATGACGCCTTCACCTAACCACAGAAAATTTGAGAGACTTTATAAAATCATTACAACATTATTGTCAGTAGCAAACAACAAACTCAATGGTTACTTTGGCAAAGAAGAAATTAAAACAGAAATGTATTTAATTTTCTTTCCCCAAAGATCTCAGAAAACCCAGTAAAACTTTCCCAAACAATATAAGCTACAAATAATTTACGTCTTAATAAATTAGTCACTTCTCAAAATATTTCTTTTTTTTCATTAACTTTTTTCCAAGATAAACAGATAAAAACACAGAAAATGTTTTTCCCAATCCAGTGGAGACATCTAAAGACACAGGAAGAGACCAAAACACAGAACAGAAACACAGAAGCATCCGGTATTGTCCCACAGGGGGGACAATGAGGTCTAACAGCTGCAAAGTGACAGAACACTGAGGTGGGCTCAGTGTACCAATACTTTATGTGAAGATTAATATACTCTGCATGAAGGGCAAATTATAACATGAAATACAGCTATCCATCTGGATACACTCAGTTATTTTGGTTCATCAATTCAACTCAGAGAAAAACTCAACTCAATTCACAACCCTAAATAAATGTAGATTTCAATTTGTCATTCAACCAATAAAACTGATTTCTGATAGGAAACACAACAATTTCTAAATGTAGCAAAGGACAGTCAGGCTTGGGAAAAAATATGTTTTCATCTACCTTTTCTTAAAGATGTAAATAATCATCGACCGGTTGTTTCAGTGGCGAGCCTCCAGTTTTCAGCTCAGGTATCTTATTCGTTCAACATCTCGCGTGTTCTCAGCCTGATCTGGCCTGCTCTCTGCTGCCATCTGGTGGCAGACGATCGTCCTTTTCTACTCGGATCGCGGATGCCCCGAAATGTTCCGCCCTGCGCTGCTGGATGCGATTCTTTTAATCCACATAAGTGTCAGATTATCCTCTCCTTTCTGATCCTTCTCACAGCACACATCATGCCGCTTCTGGTAGAGAGATATCTCCAACCTGGAGGTTGTTTGATGGGAAAAGGAAGACAGAGAACTATACAATTAAACTTATATGCGAATGCCAGACAGTCTTATTCAATACATCAGGATACATGTCCTGATCAAGCTTGTGAGATTAATAGTAGCTTTCTAAAATATTCTTTTAGACATAATGCGAAATATAAATATGTTAAAACATATGTAATCTAATTAGTCTATATAATGTCTTTCAGTTGGTGATGGAACTGACAAAGGAACTTTTCAGTCATATTATAATTTATGGAATCAGCCGATATTTACTTAATGCTTATATACAACTGAAAAAGGTTCACAGTTTTCAGTAATATTTTTTGTGAAGAATTATCACATAGTTGCTTTTTGTTGTCTGAGTTTATCAAGTGCTAAAAACATCAACATGAGAATCTGTAACAATCAAAATGTGATTCAACTTTTCAAAAGCAGAATCAGTAACTTCTGTATGAACCAAATGAATCTAACTTTGTATTTTTCAATGATGTGGTTCTGACTCCACAGCTGGTTGGCTAAACCTTTTGCCCTATTGACTCACACACAGCAGATGAGATATGATGTGTCTTTAATATAACAAATCATAAAGTCGCAAAACCTTTTGTGGGTCTGATTGGAGCAGATGGTGATCAGAGTTATTACTGGATCCTACAAAATGTGGCTTAAAGCTGAAATGCTGTTGCTTGGATATGTAAAATATATATTCTCTCTGCTAATAAATCTACAGTTTAGTTTCTGCCAGTTCTCGAAACAAGAGAGAACAAAGTCAGTTTCTCTTTATAAAGGCCCATAATTGAATTTTACTTAATAGGAGTCATGATTTGGCTCCTGCATATTTATGAAATATTTCATCCTATTTGATGATTGATCTGAATGTTGCCATGTTCTACGAACAAATGATGCAATTTGTCCTGAGAAAAATTTCGAGAAACAGGTGGCGGTTATATTATGATTATTTTTCTCACTCTGTCAGCTTAACGTCACACAGACTCGATGCCATGGCATTCTGTCTGTTGCAGATCTATGTGAAGTTTTATTTTGCGATCATTGTTAAGTGATCCCGAAAACTCTTAGCTAACTATGCGTCGTCAATATGTGGATTTTTTTTTTTTGCCATCATGTGACTTATGCACCTGGGATCATTTCAGAGAGGAGGTGGTCTCTGTGGCTTCCTCTCTGTCAGGGGGTCACGTGTTCTACCACTTTCACTTTCAGCCACTCCCATCACCCTCTGCTCTGCTATTCTCACTGATTCATCATGAGTTTGTTCCAGCTCATCCCGGCCCTCGCTTGATGTCACACCTCAAATCTAAACTGTCACTCTTTCAGCCAGGATTAACTCATATAGTCTCATGACACCTCCTGTCTTAGTTTTCTCTGGCCGAACCGTCCTAAACAAACACTTCATTCAAACCCTCTAAACCCGATCAGAGTGCCCAACCCAGATGACTCTGGACGAGGTCGTCATTCTGTTGGAAGAAGAACCCCACTGCCAGACTTTTAGGGAAGATAGTCGGTGTAGATTCGCAGTCTCAGAGTTCCACAGCAAACACACTAAAAGGTTTCATTTTGGGGCGTATTTGACAACATGAATCTCGGTCCACACGTTGCAAACAGAACTTCTTATAACTGTTTCAACTAAGGCTTACTTCTTCTTACGTACTGTTCTGGAAAGGACAAATATTTCTCTTACCAATATTAATGGCTGACCTCCTTGAATTTTTTTTTTTTTACTACTGCGAAATTATCTCAGTGGCACAAAATCAAGTCAAAATCAGTCATGGAAGAAAAACATACATACTGTAACTGTCAGTAATCTCAGGAAATTTAAGTGGACTAATCTGATTATCAGTAAGGATGTCTTCAGTGGCTTCGTAATGAAAATTGCAAAAGACGTGGACCCCATAAGTAGTTATGACAATATATACTCATATTCATATATGTTTGTGTTTATATTCAGATCATAAATGCATGTAGTATACTTATGAAAATAACTTAAATCAAGGCTAACTGTACAGAGTTGATCTTAAACTATAATAAATGGAACATTGACCAACATATTTGATGTGTATTGATGATTTTGGTGATGGCACTCATCACAGTGTTCGATACAGTCAACAATAGAGAAAACCAGTATATCTTGGTTTTTTTATGATTTTGTATTTCTGTGTTTTTATGATGTAAAGCACTCTGAACTGCCTTGTTACTGAAATGTTTTACACAAATAAACTTAATTAGTTATGAAAGGCTTAACAATCCAGGTTAACGACTTAAAGAGCTGCATTCAACAGCATGGAGAGAAGTCATTTCTACAGGATGTCAGGGCAGGGTGCAGTGCATCATGGGACAGATTAATCTGAGAAAGAAATCAGATGAAATTGTTTTATTTGGGTGAAAAAGCAATCTTAAATATATATTTACATCGATAACAAGGTGATTATTTTTAAACTTTAAGCATCATCGGGGAACCAACTATGTTTTCTGACTGCACTGATTTAGCAGTGAACTGGTTCCAGTTCCTCGACTTTTAGTCATTTTCATCTTGAAGTGGCTGGAAGACAAAATACATCAGTTATTAATACTTCTTCATTTCTTTATTTTAATTATGTTCAATAAGCATATGTCTGGGTTCCCACTTTTGCAAAATAAACTTTTCACAATATCAAATAAAACAAAGCTGCAATATGCAACTTTGATCATTTCTTCTTACATATTTGTTGAAACTATTGCTATGTCACGACAGTATGGTATGACACATAATCTGTGGAAAAAAAATGAGTTCCCAGTGCTACCAAGAAACAACCAATCAGAGTGGGTCTTGGTGCTGTCAATCACTCTCTCCTTCCTGTGGCGCTGCTCATCCTCACTCTCTCATTCTCTCCTTGCTCTCTGCTATACTGCAGCTAGCAGAGCCTGTAGTGAATGCTCAGGCTAATGAGCATGGCCATGATGATGGCAGATAAACTGTTTTTCTGTAATGGTAAGTTGTTTCTCTGTCGTTAGCACATTTAGCAGCAAGTACATGAGAATTAACACTAATTGGTTGTTTTTCTTCAGGAGCTGTGCTTTTCTCCAGACAGGGACGAGGTGAAGGAGAGCAATCTTTTCAGAGATTATTTCTCAGTCACAACATGGCAACAGTTTTAACAAATATTTAAAAAACATTGTTAATAAAAGTTGCATATTGGAGCTTTAAGGACACTATAATTTGACTGAATCAAATCGGCTATTTTTGTCTCAGACACCCACCGTGTAAGCTATTTCCCCAGGTCTGGAATCTGGTCTCTGCCATTGGATGTTGGCTAGAATCTTGAGGACGACCAGGCCAAAGGCTACGACTAAAGCCCCTAATGCGTTTCCTAACACACCCTCAGGTGGAAGGCTGGAGTATGTGACGTTGCCTTTTCTGTAGAAAGAAGCAGATGTTACGATTGAACATCACGATGTTATGTCAAAGGTACAAAGTTTTAAAAGCAACACAAAGAGAACTCACAGGACGAAGAAGAGTTTCTCGTTGATGCCTGAGATGCAGGCGGCGGTGGAGAGCAGCAGGATGCTGCCGCCCAGCCACACATGGACGGGTTTCAGGAGTTTACGGAGCAACACGGGAGAGCAGGGCAAGAGGAAGCCTGCGAACCCCACGCCCCACTGGTGGGTCAGAAATGATAAAAAGAACAAATACATTAACACTAATGAAAACGACAAGATGTATTTTGTCCTATTTGAAGCCAGATACCTGAAGTGCAAAAAGAATCACGGTTGTGATTCCGATCCAGCTGTGTAACGAGTACAGGTTGGGGGTGTTCTTGGCGTTGTGGACCTCGAAGACGGCACAGAGTCCCAAGACGGACATGATCAGGGAGCCCAACATCAGAGTGGCATGAAGCAGCTTCCAGGGGAGTTTATTCTGACCCCAGGTCAGCGGCACGCGGTACACCACAGCTCCTGCAGAAAAACCAAAACACAGCCAGAACTTTTAATAAAAATCATGTGTTTTCAGAGAACACTCCTCCAACGCTGCATCAGCCTCACTGCTTGCTCGATGTGAACCTGACTAAAGGTTGAGTTATAGACTCGCTTTCTAAGGTTTATGTTGTGATTACAGTTGAGACTGATGTGAACACATGCATCTTTGTGCAATAGAGTAACGTGTTCGTGTATCTTATGCATTCTCAATACGTGTTCCAGCAGCGCCGTGTGTGATCAAACTTTATCAGGTAGAAAAGTAATTTCCTTTATTGTCTCACAGTGGGAAAGCGCCAGTGTGACAGAGGCAAAGCGACAGGCGGCTGAAGCATATAGATTCACACAACATTTAAAATATACAAAAAAACAATTTAACGACAACATCTACTTGTATTTTCATATTTTTTGTCAACTTTTAATACTTTAACCCTGAAACCAGGTGGGCAGCTGGCGGACTGCCCTAACCCACCCACCATGTGGGTCATCTTTTATGGAAGAAACTTAATTGGGTTTATGTAAAAAGCTGTTGCTGAAACATGGACATTTTCATTCAGACTGACACATACAAACAATATGAATGCTTTCATTTCTTTTTTCCCCATCTGCATACCAATAGATGAGACTGTGACAATTTACTGACATGAAATAGACAGAAAATCTTCATCTTCCCTTTTCTTCCAAACTACTGAGCTTGGTTGGTCATGCCCAAGTCGGTCGCAATGAGCAATTAACCGCATTATAAATTAAAATGAATTTGATTTCCATTCTAGCCATGAATTGATTGGTTTCTCAAAATAACTTATTTAAGTAGTCCACACAGACCTATTGTATTTTAATATTTTATGAATGACAGCTTTGCTTACAGAGAGACAATCTATTTTAGTCATCGTTTCGTTTGTGTGTGTTTTTTTTATTTCCATCTTATTTATTATTTCTGGTTGTTGTTTTATCTTTGGATATTGAAAATGTCTTCCAGTTCCAGTGTGAAGTGTACTTCCCAAAAATAAAGTTCACTGGGAAAAATTGCACCGACTTGTCAATTACTTGGAAAAAGGTCACAAAAATATCATTTACAACAATTACTCTGACAATTTATTATTCAGCAAAATTTGTTATTGTGGCAAGCCTAGTCATGTGTTCCCCATGTGTCTCACAGAAAAGTCGCGCTTCAAATCAATTCAGCTGACTTGAGTGAAAACAGCCGGAAGACCATTTTGTTCCGACTGAGCTGAGCAAGACTTATCCAGTCTCTGAAGGTAAATGGTAAGGTCATGCTCCGAACTCAATCAGAGACTAAACAAATGCCCCATCTGTAACTGGCACAGAGGTCATGTTTCAACACAGGTTGTATAAAATAAACAGTTTGGGTCTGGAGCTTTAATAGAACTAATAGATAGAATAATAGAACTGGAGCTACAACACACAGCAACAACCCAGCGTGAGTTTCTTGTCAGTGAAACTCCAGGTTCATCAATATGGAGGAAGGCAGTGTGTGTAGATGAAAAGCCACAGCTTATTGTTTCAATGGATCTCCATCAGTAAGTCAACACACAGGAGTCATTCAGCTCACCAGGGAAGAAAAACTCTGATTTCACTCAGAGAAGCTGAGTGGGATACAGATTCAGCAGCTGCTGTTTCACATGTACATTTCACATCAAATACAATCATGTGCTGCAGATGTAGAAGGAGGTGTAAATATAGGTATTCCCCTAAGAAAACAAAAACCTCACTTTTACTTCCTTAAACATATATGTTGGAGGTTTGAGCATCGTAGTTGGTAATTAATAAAGGTAATGCTCAAAAATAAGTCATATGATACGCACACAGTATACAGAGAAAGGCATTGCCAGTTGTAAGACCATTCATTATTAAATCTCAGGAGGTTTAATAGTGTAAAATATGTAATATAAAATAACTTTTGTTCTTGTCATATTTTAGATATCTTGTTTCAATTTGGAACATCAGTATAATCTACTGATGAAACTGTGGAAATTATGATTTAGTTCTTTTGGTAGCAATACAGATATGAATAGTTTTGTGTTACAATCAGTTCTATGGAAATGTGAAGAGTTTTGTATGATTTCATTGGGGAGCTAATAATTCTAACCTTAACTATATTCCAATGATCCTGACAGTCCAGCATAACTTTATCACGAGTCATATAATTTTTTTAAAGCTGAAACAATGGCTTTTTGTAGAAGTCAACATGCCTTCAACTGTAACAAAAGATTAGTTCCTCTGGCTTTATGCAGATACTTCATGCAGGTTTACTGCAGGTTCTCCAGCCTTTCTTAATTTATCTTTTGGACTATAAATTTTGGACCATCGATCGTTTCTTCGGTCAGTTCTATTCTGTTTTGGCGTAGTCCCTTTTACCTGACCATTTCCAGATTAAGATTTTACTTGGCAACCCAGTTAAAACATAGCTTTGAATCATCCACAAAACAGGAACTGAAGAGCTAAACTAATGTTATCACTACAACCTAGCAAAATTGGATCCTTACACACTTCCTCCTTCTGTCAAGGAAGTAGTTTTAAAGCAAAAAAAAAGTACAGTTTAATATAGCTAACAGTAGTTATTAGCGACTGCCAAACCAGGTCGCCGAGCGGCTGAATAGGGGAATCTTTGTTGACGCGCCAGCTGATCAAAAGAGCAATCCAAGTTGCATTTAAGTTTATTTATTTTGTCAATATCCAAAACTTCACAGTGTCCACACAGCATAAAAACGGATCCGTAGAAAAAACAGTGAATAAAGACAAAATGTGCTAAATGGATGCGGTCAGCAAAAAGTAAACCTTCCCCCATCACCCACTCACTAAGATCACCCAGGTGAGCAACAGCTGATCTATAATCACCAACAACATCACGTGATCCTCACTACACCTGTCCACAACATTCCAGCCCCTAATTATTACATCATTACACAGTAATAATTACTCATTCAACACCATTACCTAAGATATACACGACATCAAAACTCACATTGAGACATTACATTCAAATAGTCCATGAAAGTCATTTTCAATAGTCAAAACAGTCTTTTTCCCTTTTTTTTTTTTTTTTTTTTTACAAAATAGTCCATCCATAGTCAATCGGTCAGTCATAGGCCAGAGGTTACCAGCACTTAGCCTAAATATAGTCAGTCTGCGATGTACATCTAGTTGTGGTAAAGTCAAGTCAAAAGGTCATGTCAAGAGGTCGGTCGAATGCATTGTCTTCATTGGTCGGAAGTCTCCTGAAGAAGGCATATCTTTGTGATGGGTCTGCATAAGTGGCTGGTTGGAGTCTTAATCCAGACCTGACGTACAAGTCCATTTTTGTCTGGCACAGTTTTTGTGATTCTGCCGATGATCCAGGAACCACGAGGTGCAGAGTCATCCATTATAAGAACCACATCTCCAGCAACAAAGTTGCGTCTAATCTTCATCCACTTTTGGCGCTGTTGAAGTTGAGGCAGATATTCTTTAATCCATCTTTTCCAGAACAGATCAGATATGTATTGGACCTGTCTCCATCGTTTCCTTGCATAAACATCCTCTTTCTGGAATAAACCTGGTGGAAAACTTGGGTTAGACTTGAGTAGGAGAAGATGGTTCGGTGTTAGAGCTTCCAGATCATTTGGATCGGTGGATTCCAATGTAATAGGTCTACTATTGAGGATTGACTCCACTTCACAAAGAACAGTTTGCAGACCTTCCTCGTCCAAATGCTGTATTTGCAAAGTGGAAGTAAGAACCTTTCTGATGGAACGAATCAATCTCTCCCATGCTCCACCATGGTGCGACCCAGTTGGAGGATTGAAGATCCATTTCACTCCCTTCAGCGACAACATATCAGAGATCTTTTCCTGATTCCAATTTTCAATAGCTCGTCTCAGTTCTCGCTCTGCAGCCACAAGGTTGGTACCATTATCGGACCGCAGTTCTTGTACTTGGCCTCTCCTTGCAATGAAACGTCGTAAGGCGTTAATAAAAGAGTCTGTGTCGAGAGATGAAGCAACCTCGATGTGTACTGCTCTTATCGCCAAACATGTGAAGATAACTCCATATTTCTTCACAATACTTCTTCCACGCTTCACTTCAAATGGACCAAAATAATCTACTCCAACAAAACTAAAGGGGGGTTTCTCAGGGGTCACTCTGCTTTCAGGCAAGTCAGCCATTTGTTGCTGGCCTGCAGCTCCACAAAGCCGTCTGCAGATCACACACCTTGACATGATCTTTCTAATCAATGTACCAGCACCAGGAATCCAATATTTCTGATGAAGCTTTGACAGCATGAAGTTCCTACCTCCATGACCCACCTCTTTATGAATATATTGGAGAATAAGATAAGCAATGTGAAGATCTTTAGCTACAATGATAGGATGTTTAGAATCTTCAGACATGGCAGCCTTACTGAGACGTCCTCCAACACGCAGCACATCATCCACCAGCACAGGATTTAACTTATATATGTGACTGCTTCGTTTAACATTCTCTCCCTTTTGGAGACAGGAGATCTCTTCAGAATATTTTTCCTTCTGGCAGAACTTGATTATCTGCATCTCAGCATCCTCAATCTCTCCCAATGAAAGAAAGCCAGTATGTAGCTCAACCCTATGATGAGCAGCTTCAGACTGGGTTGTTTCAGATGCAGATGGAAAATATGTCTTTTCTCTTTTGTGATGCAAAAGCAATGTTTTAAATCTCAAAATCCAACCCATCACTCTGACAAGACGAGTCCACGATGAAGCACGACGAATCAAAAAGGTCAGAGGATGATCGTCATCTTGTCTGGGGAACACACCGACAGAAGCAGATACTTTAACTTCAGGGTCTTCATGTGGAAGTTCCTGTAAGTTCTCTGGGTTTACAGGCCAATCTGTCTCTGGCTGTGTAAGAAATGCAGGACCAGATAACCATGTAGTGTCATGTAGAAAAGGCTCTACCTTCATGCCCCTGGAAGCAATGTCTGCAGGATTATTTTTTGTGTCCAC